GCTGATGAAGTAATTTCAGCCCTATGGTTCACATTCACAACCTTTTCAGACCTTTTTTTTCGAAGCATAACTATCTTCATGACGTCATGCATGATCTTCTAATGTTGATGACCGAGCTCTAGCTCAGGCAATATTTTTAGGATAGAAATCTCAAATTCGAATCTAACATGTGTCCTATTTATAATCAATTTTGACACCCTTGTTTTAGGTTCCTGGAATTTCTGACTTGGGTTTGACCCCTAGAAATATAAGTAAAGTTGGTATTCTTGGTGGCGGTTTAATGGGCTCTGGGATTGCTACTGCACTAATACTTAGCAATCAACGGGTGATACTTAAAGAAGTAAATGACAACTTCCTTCAGGCTGGGGTTGGCAGAGTTAAAGGTAGAGTTAATGGACATTAAGGCTTCGTTTGAGACAGCTTTCTTACTGCATCTTAAAGTAATTTTTTAGTACAAAATTTTTTAATTTTTGAACTAGAAAGCTGCTTTAAGAAGCAGTAAGAAAGCCGTCCCAACCAAAGCCTAAATCTTGTTGCGGATGATCATTTTCTTCATGTACTTTCTTTTTCTAAATTTAACATGTTGTCATGTTTCAGCAAATTTGCAAAGTCGTGTTAAGAAAGGGACAATGACACAAGAGAACTTTGAGAAAGCTCTTTCTCTTCTCACAGGTGTTCTTGACTACGAGCAATTTGGGGATGTGGACATGGTTATTGAGGTAATGTATTTGTGATGAACTAACCCTATTGTTATTTGTTTTTCAACCAACTGAGTAGTCTTGCTTCATTTGATTCTTCTGACAGGCTGTTATTGAAAAGGTTGATTTGAAACAACAAATTTTTGCTGATCTTGAAAAATACTGTCCTCCACATTGCATCCTTGCTACCAACACCTCAACCATTGATTTAAATCTGATTGGTGAAAGCACAAAATCACAGAACAGAATTGTGGGAGCACATTTCTTTAGGTAAGCAGGATTGCTTGAAGACTTTGGCTTCATTTGGGATGACTTTCTTATTGCTTCATAAACAGTTTTTTAATACAACAAATAAAATTTTTATATTAAAATACTGCTTTAAGTAGCAATAATAAAGCAATCTCAAACAAAGCCTTTGTTAGATGCTATTGTGTAACTGATTCATTATCTTTCTCAGCCCTGCGCATATAATGCCACTTCTAGAGATAGTGCGTACACATAACACATCTCCTCAAGTTGTTGTGGACCTTCTAGCTGTTGGGAAAAAGATACACAAAACACCCATTGTTGTTGGGAATTGTACTGGATTTGCTGTAAACCGCATGTTCTTCCCCTACACTCAGTCTGCGCTGTTACTTGTTGATCGTGGTTTAGATGTCTATAAGATTGATCAGGCAATTACCAAATTTGGTATGCCAATGGGCCCTTTCAGGTACGAGGTTTTGACTTAAAAATTAGGGTAGTTGAGGGTCATTACATAGTCATCTTAGATCTTGAATACTGGTATGCAGATTGGCTGATCTTGTTGGTTTTGGTGTTGCTGTTGCTACTATTCTGCAATACCTTCAAAGTTACCCTGAAAGATGCTATAGATCTGAATTAATGAAGCTCATGCTTGATGATAAGAGGACAGGTATGCTGAATATAATTTGTCGAAGTATGAAAGTTTGATCATCCTTTAGTTCTTGCAACTGTATTTCCTTTCAACGTAAAATCAGTTGGGACAAGCTCCTTTCCGTTGAGAAAGGATAAGTAATTTTTTTTTACTGACTATAAAATTAAATTAGGGCGGGTTTAGGTGCAATGGTCAAATTGTCCTTTAGAGTTGCAGTCATGTTTTGAATCACATAAAGCCGTCTCTTAGCTTGAAGAAATGCTAAGACTTCATTCATTAGTCTCTCCCTTCCTGACATTGCAATCTGCAGCTCCATGGAAACGCCTTACATAAAAATCTAAGTATATAAATGATTTTTGTTTATCCAGAAAGTAATACCTAAAGCTTGGTCGAATACAAGCCTAACCCAGAAGTGGCTTTTGCTAGTTCTCTGTTGCCACTGGACCTTACCCAAATAATGATGTGAAACCTTTTTAATTTTTATCCAGGTTAATGGTTCAATGGTTGGCATCCTAATGAATGTGTAGGCTTTGAGACTCCCAACCTAAAATCATATAAAGAGCTGCAACTTCTAGAAAGTTGAAGTATAATCAACCACCTCAATTTCTTTTAGAAGAGGAAAATTTTCCCTTAAAGATTACTTCAAAATTAGCTTAACTTCAGTCAATTCTTCTTTAATTCACTACCTATGCATTATGCACACATTCATATCAATTTATTTACTTAATTCATAACTAACATTTGCATTGAAATTTTTTTATTTATATAATGATAATTAAAATAACTAAATTTAGGTATAATTCTTACCTTAATTATAATTTATAAAGGAGTGAATTTCTCTTTTCTTGCTTTTTACTTCTCCTCAATTCGAAATCTTGATAAAATTTAATAAGAAATTTATATTAAGTTTTATTAAATTCTGATACAATTTTTCTTATGTTGTTCAAATCTGAAAATCAACGTACTTTCTATAAACCACATACTTGACGTTTGTTGTTCTATGCCATTCTCTCTTGATTTCTTTCTTCTTCTTTCCTTCTTCCATGTCTCAACAGTGTTTTTCTTTCTTTATTGAGGTCATCTCTCTCGTAAGAGTCGTATTGTAGTGTTGAATGTGTCTAATTACATCGAAGATTATGGAGAAAGTTTTGAATATCGCCAAAGATGATGCAAATGTGTCGAATGTTATTGAAGACAATGTTAAAGGTGAATGACTTCATCTCTTCTCCGTTTCTCTGCATCGGACGAGATCACACAAATCCCTCGTCCTCTTATTCATTCTCTTTTTTGGACTCTTTTTCTTCCCTATCGAAGGATTCCTCTCAATTGAATGGAGTTGCACTCTTCTTCCTCTTTATGTTGAATGAGAAACACACTGAGCTGAACGGAGTTCCTTTTTCATTTTTCCTCTCTTGTTCTCCCAGCCTTAATCTTTCTCCTTACCTCCATTTCTCTATGCCAAGAGGAGTTGCACGTCTCTTTGTGTTGAACAAACTCGCACCCTTCAATCGTTGATCTCGTTGTCTGGCGCTTTCACACCCTTTTGTCTTCGTCACATGCTTTATGAGAATTAACACCACTGTAATAGTCCATGTATATGCCTATGCATTCTCTCCCCTCTTTCCTCTCGTATGTGGATTGTCACACAATGATTTTGTACAAGAAGATGGGCTCAGCATAAGTGTTGATACATTGGTATGCAATCACTCGCAAAGGCGTTGGTGCTGGTGGAACTTCCATAGGGAGTACTAAATAAGCCAAATCCAACCCAGACCATTCCGTTGGATTCTCAACTGCGATTGATATGTTGAGGTCAACAATGTGGTCTCTAAACTGAATCTTTCAATTTTCTTTTGTTTTTTTCTCTGTTATACAGATATATTGCTGTTAGAACCTAGAACATGAACACCTTATCTTCTAAGTCAACTTTGAACCATGGCAGGTGAAAGTTCCCGGAAGGGCTTCTATTTATATGATGATAGGCGAAAGGCTACCCCTGATCCCGAGATAGGCAAATATATAGAGAAATCAAGAAACATGGCTGGTGTTGAGGCTGATCCCCAGGTCCTCAAATTCCAACCATATCATTTAAACTTTACCAAGCTAACGATTTATTCTAAGGCTTTGTTTGGGACGACTTTCTTATTGCTTCTTAGAGCAGCTTTCTAGTATAAAAATTTTAATTTTTTAACTAAAAAACTATTTTAAGAAGCAACAAAAAACTCGTCTAAAACGAGGGAAATTATTGGGTACGGACACCGGACGCTGTCCAGAGCCCAATAAAAATGCGCCACATTACCCCCTACTCGGTACTGAGCAGTACCAAGCAGTACCGCTCAGTATTACTCAATACTGCTCGGTACTGTGAAGTACCGAGCTCAGTACTTCACAATACCGAGCTCAGTATTACTCGGTACTGTCAAGTACCGAACGGTAAGCTGTGTCCGGTGTCCGAACCCCATAATCCCCCCTCAAACGAAGCCTAAATCGTTTTTCATATTTATGTTATCTTGTGGTAATCACCAATAGCCATTGATTTTACACTTTCCATGTTTCAGCTTATGAAGTTGCCGGACAAGGACATAGTAGAGATGATATTCCTGCCAGTAGTGAACGAAGCTTGCCGAGTCCTTGATGAAGGAATTGCAGTAAAAGCATCTGATCTGGACATTGCCTCCATCATGGGAATGGGCTTCCCTTCCTTCAGGTTTTCAATCTTTCAGAATTCCTACTTTTCTCTTGTTAGTTTTTACATTATTTATTCTTATAAAGCTTTTTGTTTCCATATATCCTAAATCTATAGGGGTGGCCTTATGTTTTGGGCGGATTCTCTGGGTGCTAAGTACATACACAAAACACTGGAGCAATGGGCATTAACGTATGGTAATTTCTTCAAGCCAAGTTCATATCTTGCAGAGAGAGCTGCCAAGGGAATTCCTCTGGTAAGCTGCAGGATAATTTCTCTTTACTGTAGACATTTGATATGAACCTACTCAGAATTGTGAATGGTTTTAATAACCTGATGCAGGGTGCTCCAGTTAATCAGGCTAGTTCGAGGTTATGATCTCATCCTTCTTAAAGTCTGTTGTTTGGAAGAAAACTGGAAATATGGGGTGGAAATAAGTGAATGTAGGGCCTTAAAACGCTTAATAAAGGAGATTGAAACCGCTTGTGTTTCTTAAAAATTATATCGTTTAATTTCAGTAAAATTTGGTTTTGAACTGAATTGTTCAATCGCTTTGAAAGCATGTAGTTAAAAGTGATGGCTAAGGAATTGAATTGAAATTGTTATATACATATATAGTAATAAATTCAGTTATTTTAGAATAAAGTTTGGTTCGGAATAGCTTTCTTACTGCTTTATTTTTCAGATTATAATTATAATTTTTATTTGGCGATTAACTTTTCGCTATTTTTAAGAAATTTGTGTCGGGAATTTGCTTTTCTATACTAACTTTAAAAAAAAAGTTTTTTTTTTTTACTCAAAAGCGGTTTTATAAAATTAACTTTATAAAAAGTTACAGTCGTTCCAAACAAATTCTAATATTGAAAGCAAATAACTCAAAATTATGAGATAAAATGAGGTTGTATTACCTCTAATTTCTTCACAACAAAAGAGCCATTCTTGTACTGTTACTCTGTTAGCTCTTATTTTGCCATACCCACACCTATATATGCACGAAAGGGTATGAATGGTATTGATGCTTGGCTGAGTAAAATCAATAAAAAGGTAGGCAAAGCTAAATAGCAAAATTCAATGCTGGACTTTCCTGTGCAGGCCAACGGCGATGAAAAAAATGGTTATTATTAACATTTGAAAACTCAAGCACGCCATTATTTTTAGGGTTCCTTTGATTTCATGAGTTTTAAATTTCACAAAATTTGTAAATGTAATAATTTTATTCATCTATCTATGTCAATTAGTTTAGTTGATAAAAAATTTGAAAGCTGTTAAGATCTTGGTATCAAATCTGGTCTCCAACAACAACAACAACAACAACATCAAGTATTTGTTCCACTACGTGGGGTCGGTTACATGAATCCTTTTTCGCCATTGTGTCCGGTTAAAAGTCAGATTCTCATTTAAATTTAATAAAGAAAGACAATTTCTAATGTTTTCTAACCAAATCTTTTTAGGTCTACCTCTACCTTTCTTAACATAAGTCAAATCTAATACCTCAACTTTCCTAACCGGGTCATTGAAAGGCTTCCGTTTAATGTGACCAAACCATCTAAGGCGACTCTCTCTAATCTTATCTTCCACTGGAGCCACTCCAACCTTTTTCACGTATATGCTCATTTCGTATCCTATCTCTAAGGGTCAAGCTATTCATCCACCTAAGCATCCTCATCTCTGCAACACTTAACTTAGTATTATGCTTCTCTTTTAATGACCAACATTTGTCACCATAAAGCATTGCATGTCTCACCACCATCTTATAGAATTTTCCCTTAAGTTTGAGGGGGACTTTTCTATCGCACAATAAGCCTGATGCATTCCTCCACTTCAACCATCCAACTTGAATTCTGCTGATAATGTCCACATCAATTTCTACCTCTACCTTTCTTAACGGTATCAAATCTGGTCTCCATCATTAAAAAAATAAAAAAAATCAAATTAAAGATTAAAAAAAATTAACAAATTTAATTCATTAAGAACATTGGGTTTACCAAATGACATGTATGACTTGTTTTTATAAGTTCATGTAAAACTACATAACACATTATGGAATGAATGTGTAGGTAATAAGTGATGCATATCACGTTTATAAAATATAATAAGAGAAAGGATCATTTAATCTAAAAAAAAGTTAGGATTTATATATGAGAATGTAAGTGACATGTAAGACTTGCAATAAAGAAAACCTAAAAAACACAAATCACATGCAATAATATCCTATACTTTTGTAGAGCATACACTAAAGAGGTGGCAAGTTGATAGTGTATGACATCTTTGTGATGATAGGCACTAAGTTGGTCAAAGAGCTTGTGTTGGACAATATTATATTATTCTTATATTTCATTTAAAAAACAAAGTGGGGCTTATAATGATGTAAGATGAGGCCCATAAGGATTACTTAATGTCATATTATGAGAACAATCTTGGAAAGAATCTAATATTATGAACTTATGAATGGAACTCATAAAGTGAAAGGACTCAAAATAAGACTTCTATATTATGGCTTATATTATTTATTAGGTGATGCACAACCTAATATTTTGAGGACATTAACATTTTGTTGATGATGTGCATTTATCTTCTTGGTGATATAATAGAATGATTTTGATGTTAATAACCCATGCCAATTTATGGGTAATGACATACATCAATGTTTATGTTAATAATAGGCAATAATCTTATTAGTGTCAGTAGGCATCAATGCTGGTGTTGTGACGTGTATTGGTCATATGGTGATTATGGGCACCGATATTGTTGGTGAATGTGGGAAAGTATCATGTTGGTGTTGGAGGGTGTCAATGTTCAAGCGAAGAAAATCAAGTGACAATGATTTGATGATAATAGTTGTTGGTAAAAATTGTTAGATGGGTTTCTACAATTCTTCATTTATACGAGCTCTCCCCAATCCAACGTCTTCTTCATCTATAAAGTGAGGCTCTATTTATTATCATTTGGAGTTACATTTGGGTAATTTTAGTCAAAACATCCATGTATTCGATCGGATGATCCAATCGATCCCCTTGATTATATAACATTCTCTTTTTGTTTAACTAACTTACTAACATTGAAATTGAGCAATCTTAGTCGCCTCGTTGGATTCCTTTCATTTAGATGCTCATTTTAGCTATAATCAAACGCAATTTTGAGATTATTCAATCATTCAAACAACATCATAGATTTTCCAACTGTTCTTTAAGTTAATCATGTCAATATGAATCTTACTGATTCAATCATTCAATAAGATTCATTTTATTCAAACCTAAAAAGTTAATCATGTCAATTTCGAGTTTTTGAGTCAGGCTGAATCCAACCTAAAAATAAATCTGATCAAAATTTCCAACTCGAGCATAATCTTGATCCGAAGATTAATTTGGTTAACCCAAACCTAAAATTTTCAAATCTGACTCGTGTCAGATTTTCTAATATGATCAGAATTTTGAATCTGATCATTTATTGACACGCACTTATTCACAACTTCTTAGTCATTTTTAATAATCTCTGGCTCTAAATGAATTCGCTGAAGCTATGAAAAAACCATTCTAAATAAAAATCTTAACCTATCTTTTATGTTATTTAGGGCTGCTTTTATGAAAATTTTATTGGTTTTCTATCAATGCCAAGTAGATTAGGCTTTTAGGCAATTAGGGAATAAATGAGAAGGTCTAGCCATTTGGTGATGGCAAGCTCAGATTAGCTAATTTCAATTCCCTTTGATCACGACAATGAGCTCGCCGATATTTTAGCGCCCGATCATCGCTCGTTGATTGTTCAAGAGGCTTTGAGATTATTCATTAGGGTTACATAAATAGCATTTAAGTACTAGCTCGCATCTATTAAGCTCGGTTAAATGAATTGGACTAAGAGCCATCTTGGGCAAGCTCAAGTTAGTTTGAATCGAGAAAAGATCCAATGGTCCGTGGATATCTTTTAACCTCTGGCTACATGGACAATTCGAGTGTCTTAGGCCTTTAGATTAACTAATTTACAAATAGAGTGTCAATTCGGGTTGGTGGGCAGGTGCGGGTCTGACTCCAAAGTGACTTGATCAGAATATGCTTGAACTGACCCCGACTACCAGAAGCCGACTTGCTCGACTCGTCTATTATATTGTTCATATAATTTTTAAATCAATAAGATTCATTTAATTCATGCATATCCCATTTAATTCAAACCTGAAAAGTTAATCATGTCAATTTCGAATTTTTGAGTCGAGCTGAATCTAATCTACAAATAAATCTGATCAATATTTCCAACTCATGATCCGAGGATCAATTTGGTTAACCCAAACCTAATTTTTTTTTTCTTCGGATTAGCTAATTTTAATTCCTGGGATCACGACAATGAGCTCGCCTATATTTTAGCGCCCGCTCATCGCTCGTGGATTGTTCAAGAGGCTTTGAGATTAATCATTAGGGTTACCTAAATAGCATTTAAGTATTAGCTCGCATCTATTAAGCTCGGTTAAATTGAATTGGACTAAGAACCATCTTGGGCTAGCTCAAGTTAGTTTGAATCGAGGTTAGCTGATTGAAATGATTGATGATGAACCCCATAACACTTAGCAGACCTCCCTACAGGTTAGATGAGAAAGAACTAAGAAGCTTATTTAAGTAATTCTTAAAGTTATAAATGAAAAAAAAAATTAATATGACACATAATAATGAGTTTTTTATTACATTGACATTAACTTAGCATAAATGATAAATACAAATAAAAAATAAATTATTCATTATAATTTATTAAATATGCAGTTGTATGTCCAATTCAATATAAAATAAAAAATAAAAAAAATCACAAAATACTATAATTTATTAGTTATATACAGTTGTATGTCCAATTCAAAATAAATTAATAAAATTAAAATTAAAAATTAGAAATCTTATAAAAAAATTATATGAGATAGATTGGAGCGCTCACCCTCTTAAAAAAAAAAAAATTGAGATCCACTAATTAGCAACACTTAAAATTTAAATATTCATCAATATGTCACTTACAGCTGATTTTTATGCACAATAAAAAATGAGATAGGAACAAAATTAGTATATTAAAAATTTGAAAATTAAATTTAGAATTATATGAATTCTAATTTCGGCAAATATATAGTTGAATTCAACGTCTGGATAAGATAAATATAATGATACTAAAAATGATGAAATCTAATAAAAAATGAAACAAAATCAAGCACTTAAAATATATTTAAAACTTTGAAATATTAATTGAAAGATCGAATGACCACAAAGTGTGCATGCTTTAATAAAATTGAGTGCTTTGAAGATAAAAATCCAATAAGTTCAAAATCATTTGATTATTAAAGCACTTAAATACTGAATAAACAACTAAGATTAAAATGTATAGACCATTTGATTGAGTGTTCCGATATTTTAGCTAATTTTACTAAAATGTTATTTTTTTTTTAAAATATTATAAATAGATCATCATTACTCACATGAAAGGGACCCAAATTTGAAATTGAAGATATTTTAGAGATCTAAGAACTCTAGAGCTCTACTTGATATTTGGTGTCGACGATCATCACTAACTACAACTGTCGTCTAATTGACATTATTATATCTCAACTATTTCTCCAACAATCTCTACTAAAGCTATTGGAGAGA